AGAACATTTACTGCTTCCAGCAACACTACTTTCTCGGTTTCTATTAGCTGCTTTTCTTTGTCCTCCAACTTCAAGAAGCCAGCAACTCTCTCATTTCTGAAAAAATCATTCCCCATATCCTCCAATCTGACCTTATTGGGGATACCTCGTTCAACTTTTGTGTCCTTCGTCGATGCACTTACAGTCCTGAATAATTGGTTCAGCAAGCCATCAGTAAACAAGTCCAAATCTTTCAATCCAATCACCAAACCACTGGCACCATATTTGATCCACCTCGATGCCTCATCCAATGTTATGCCATTACCACTAAAACGAAGCTTAACGAATATCGGTATCTTGACATCTTCAAACATGGATGACCCAAGGTTATCCACGTGCTTCCCTTCACCAATGTCACATATAATAAAATCAGCACCGTCAGAAGTAGATGCACTTGATGCAGCACTTGCAGTCTGCACATTCCTTGCCACCAATGGGAGAACCACTGATTCATACTTAGAATCTGCCATCATGCTTCTGGCCACAATAGCAGGAAGTCCTGTAAAAAACGACAGAAACAAAATGGACCTTGTTCTATGATGATTTCCATTAGTATCCATATGTCAAAACACTTTAAAGCATGATGCAGTTAAAGCATAGGTCATAAAAGCACCAGTGTAAATGTCTTCAAAAGATGTGTATATTTATAACAAAGATGTTTCCCAAAAGGCAAAAGTTCAATACAGCCCAAATTATAAAGTAGGTCAACATTTTGTTAGAAGCTGAGTCAATACATGTGGAAAAAGATAAATAATTCTCTGAAATCCCCTTTAAAATCTGGTCAACCTTATTAAAGACCAAAGATCAAAAGAGACCTCTTCGACCTCTTTTTAACCGAATACAATCATCTGCCACGAACATTTTAATGAAGCGAAGGTAAAGAAATAAACCCTACTTCAAAGAATTGCAATAAATTTGTAATAGGCTTCATTAACGTCTCTACCTTCCATTCAAAAAATGATGAATATGCACAATGCAAGTGTAGAAAAGAGAATAACTCCCATCAAACCATATTTTCGTGGCAAAGCAGAACTTTCCTTTGGGCTTTACTGATTGATGTACAGCTTGTGAAGAAAAAGGGAGAGAGAGCGAGAGAGAGAGAGAGAGAATAACTCCCATCAAAACCAAATTTTTATGGCAAAGCAGAACTTTCCTTTGAGCTTTACTAATTGTTGTACAGCTTTTCAAAGGATTAGTATCATAAAAGGCTGAATATTTTTGTCCTTGATAAATATCTTTAAAAGAGCAGTTAATGATCACTGCAGTGCATATCATTGTGCATAGGCCTGTAAGAGTGTGCTTAATAACCTTGCTTTTCCAGTCACCAAAGAGGGCGGTCAATTTACCCACCTTGGCCAAATGCATCGGCCCATCACAGACGCTAACACCGAGGCACTAGAGATACAGAAATCAAATTATCCAGGTTCAATTGCAAAAGAAACAGGTTGCCCAAACACGCTTTGTATAGCCTAGGCTAAGTACAACTTCAAGTATTCTGGCCTTAAATTAACTTCTCTTGAAAAAGCACACAGGAAGAAAGCATAAGGAGGCCCTCATAACCGACCACAGAGCAGGACAGACCATTGCAACTAGCTAACTGCACTAACTCACAGATTAAGCATTTCTCTCAACATTTCCACCTATTAAAAATCCACTTCGTGAGGATCTCCAACCAATAGTACTTCTACAGCGTTCTTACACAAAATTCATTGTCCAAGTCCTAAACCACACTCTAGGACTATGAATTTCAAACACCGACACCATGTTGACCACTTCTACCAAGACCAATTGCTAGGCCAAATCAAATTCAAATGCACAACCTCTTCAGCAACAATTAAAATGGCCTCATCAGTCAATCACTAACCTTGATCAGACAGCAGAACACCGCTGGCATTGATCGCGGAGACGATGTCGACCCGCTCGGCGATCAGCAAGTAAGCCCGGTCCCTCACGACCGACTTCAACAGGCAAGCCGCCTCGTAGAGCCTCTTCCCGGTGCCCTCGCCGCCGCCGAGGACGACGATGCCGACCCTGCCCGACACCGCCTCGTCGATCGAGTCGAGCGCCGCCGCCGCCGCGGCAGAGGAGGCGGAGGAGCCATCGAGGACGTCGTCGGGGTCGAGCTGTAGGACGAGGGTGGGGACCTTGATCTCCGGCCGCTTGTAGCCGCCGGGGAAGAGCGTCCGGGGCTGCGGGAGCTGGGACCGACCGCCGACCGACCGGAACCGGTCGCTCGAGAGCGAGCTGCTCGGGGGGAGGCGGCGGCGTGCCCCGCGGTGCGCGGAGAGGTAGCGAGAGAGGCGCGAGGAGAGAGAGCGGGATCTGGGGAAGAAGAGAGGCGCGGAGGCGGCGGCGGCGGCGGCGGCGGAGGCGGAGGCGGCGTGGATGGAGAGGAGAGGTACCATCGGAGGAGTGAGAGAGAGAGAGAGAGAGAGTGGTGCTCCTCTGCTTCGAGTGTGTGTGGCTTTCAGCCGTTTTATCTTCTTATCCATCGGAAGTCGGACGACGGGACCTGCCGCCGCCGCCGCCGCCGACGCCTCGTCTCCCGCCGGCCGGCGCTGGTAAATATTACGAATTTACAGCACGAGGCGGTGATTTCTTTTCATACGCGGCATGAAGTTAAAACATGAGGTAATTAGTTGATTATTTGACCGATAAACGCGGAAAAAAAACTTGAATTTTGCTAATGTAAAGTCAATCGCCGACTCGCGACCGTAAGAATTTATTCGTACTAACGATCTGCCTGCTGCTACATATGCACGACAAGGTTATCGATTTTCATTCGACTTATGAATGTGCAATTGACAAGTTAGCCTCAGCGGGGGCTATCAACATTTTTTTGGGTATTATTTAAGTTATATCAAAGAATGAATAAAATTTTAAACAATACGAAAAAGAAAAAACAGGCCAAGTCCTCGTCGCCGCCTCCGCCCTACCATCGCCGAGAAGGGTTGATAGACCCTCGCCTACAGTAGGCCCCCGGGGTGGGGCCCACTGACCCCCGGCTACCACTCCCCCAGTATCGTTGGCCTTTCCAGGCGGTTGCCCTCACTTGAGTTTTCCTTTTTTTTTGTGTTTTTTTTTTAAAGGTTGATTAGTTTTAATATAATTTAAATAAATTTTGTATTAAAAAATTAGATTTGGACTAAAATGACATCATTTTACCTTTACATTTCATATTTTAGTCATGTCATAGCCACGTATGAGAGAGAGAGAATAATACAAAAAGTTATGTCGACATTTTTCGTTAACCAAGTCAGATGGAATTAATGGAATAACTTGATTGCACCAATTTGATAAATTTTAGAACTTAATTGTACTTTTTGAAAAAAAAATTAGGATTGGATCGCACTTTCATAAGAAGTTTAAGAACTTAATTACACTTTTTTAAAGTTTTATGATCGAGTCGCACTTTCATAACAAGTTTAAGGATTTTGATTACACTTTTTGAAAGTTTTAGGATCGAATCGCACTTTCATAACAAGTTTTGAGACTTTCTACTTGGAAAGAGAGAGTCAGAGAGTTCGAATCTCCACCTTTTGAGGGAATTAGGGGTAGGGATGTTTAATTTCAGATAAGGGGTTCAATTCTCACACTCTGCAAATAAGCTAAATAAAAGATTGAAAGTAAGATGAGAGTTAGAGTAAGGCAAATAAAAAAGTAAACAAAAACTATCGGAGAAGAAAAGACGAGGGATTTTGGAAATCTTGGCGGTTATTTTGAGTTCATTACAATTTTATCCAAAAAAATCCTAAATTTATTGCAATTGTGTTAATTCAATCCTAAACGTTTTGCATTTATTTCAATTCAGTTCATCCGGCCAATTTTGGCCGATCGACGCTAGCCATTCGGCCAACGTTGACATGACAATTTAAAAAAAAATCCGATTTTTTATTTTTCTTTTCAGTTTATTTCTCTCTTTTTTTTCCTTCTCTTCTTTTTTTTCCCCACGAGCTCGTCAACCACTAGGCGAGACCTAAATGGACCTAATTGGCAAAATTAAAAAGTTTATGATTGAATTGACAAAAGTGTAATAGATTTGTAACTTTCGGGACAATTTTTAATAATATATGAAATGGCTTTTCAAGGAATGGTTTTAGTAAAAGTGTAAAGTTGAAGTGATCGTCCCGTTTATTCAATCATTAGCATAATTTAATAGCATGCGTATAGATTAAGATGCAAATTAGGATAAAGAGAGTATCGAGATATTTTTTCAAAGGGCTCTATTAATAAATATCTCGAAAATACTTGTTAACCAAAATTAATAAAAAAAATATTTCTATGTTTAATGTATAGTAAGACTTGTCAAATGAGTTGGTCGGTTCGAAAATAGTCCAACCCAAATAGACCTATTTAACCCGTTTTGACCTATTTCATGTAATATAAATTTAATGACTCGTATCCTACTTGACCCATACCCGACCCATATCGGACCCATATTACTCAAACACTTCCATATTTAATTCAATCTTGGAAAACTCATACCTAAACTGAAATAAGAGTGCAGAGTAAGTGAGCGTGAGAATGAGTAAGGGCGAGAAAGATGAGTCGAGTTTAAATAAGTTATAAACCATTTACGACCAATTTATGACTCTTTTAATACCCATATGATATTTATTCCCATTTATGACCTATTTAGTGAAAATAACTAATCCATTTATGATCTATTTACTAATATACGGATTAAAAAATAGATTTTAAAAGAGGTCGTTGTTAGTAAAATCTTTTTTTTTTCTAAATTATGATTAAATTTCGTAATTTGATTTTATTTGGACCAAAGCACCGATGGTCAGAGAGAGAGAGAGAGAGAGAGAGAGCGGGAAACAGCCGAGGCCCAATCCAGCCTTCGAACGGAACCAACGGCCGAGATCATCGCTCGCGACCGGACAGCGGCAGCCACGCCGTCCGATCGGGAGAGCGCACGTACGGGGATACGATTAAGGGGACGTATCGAATGCCTGATGCGTCATGTCTGGTCTGGTTTCGTTCGAATAGCGCTCCGATACGTGGACGACCGCGATCGCCGTCGCCGCCGCCGTCGCGGTCTCCGAAGCTCCGCGAACGCCATTAAAGTCCTCCTGGTTTTCGCAGAACGAGAGAGAGAGAGAGAGAGGGCGCCATGAGGAGGAAACCGAAGGTCGCGAAGGCTGGAGAGAAGCCTCAGCTGGTAAAGCGCGCTCCTTTTAGCTCTGTGCTGCCACGTCTTCCCGCCGTGTCGCTCGTCTGGTTCCTCGTCGTCCTCGTCCGTCGACGGACGCTGGCTTCTCTGTTTTCGCTTTTGAATGGGTCGAACGCTCGTCTTCCCGACAAGGGTTTCCGACTCGCGTGTGCCGCCGTCCGTCGATCTTCCTTTACGTTTCGTGATGTGGGATGCGCGTCGCGTCTCTCCGCCGGCGCCTGTCGGATCTGTTCGAGATTGTTAGGCTGCTCTGGCGGCAGCGGTGGGGGGCGAATGTGTGTAGGTTTCGTGGGTCTTGGAAATAGGAAGTGAAGGCGTGAAGTTACTGAAGGAGGACGGGTTCTGTAGGGTGGTTTGTTTGTTTGTTTGTTTACTCGTGGTTGAAAGTCTAGTCTCGCGCGATGCTCGGATGGCTTATGCCTCCAAGGTCCTGTTTTCATGTTCTTTTCTCTCTGCTCACCGTTACTGTGCTAAGTAAGTGTTGGTTTGGATATGGAATGGTGTTAGAGGCTGCTCGCAGAAATGCCCACATTTCAAGGCATGCTAAAATGGTTGTTGAGATTGTGTTTAAGGTAAAATGAGAAAAAAATGTGGGCATTTCAAGAGGTCTCTAGGTAATTCTCTTGTCATCCGCGCATGGGGGAAACACAAATCTTGGAGGATTTTGTGAACAGGTGCCCTCTGGTAACCGAATTTCCGAGCTTATGGGTTTTCTTGTGATATGTGCAATTAGTGCTTCGAAAAGTCGAGTTCTTCTTTATCTAATATGCTTGGCAAGTGCCCTGGAATAATGAACTTAAAAAGTAGTCAACTTGTTAAGTTTTGCAGGTGTTGATTTGCTACAGTATCAGAAATTATCTGGTCATGGTAATCTGGGGCCTGGTCAAGTAAATGTTGTTAATTTATGCCAACTCAACCTCCGAGCTGTTTATCATGACTTGTCAACACTTTTTTTCGCATGCATCAAATAAATTGCAGCACAAATCATATGTTAAGTGGCTTGTTTTTGCGTGGCTTTATTGAAAGCTTGAAAGCAGAATTGTCCCTGAGAGAAAGGAAGAGTTGCCGCCTGAAGGTACAAAATCGCCACCAAATGGACTACAAATGCAGTCTGCAAATCCAAATCCTTTGCTGGAAAAAGCGGAACCAATGCCACCGAGTGCAGATTCTTCTGTGGAAAAAACATCAAAGCCTAAAAGGAAAGCGTCTGCTGGCTTGTCTGCCTATAAGAAGTCGAGAGAGAAGTATGGTTCGGTCCGCCGATCTGGACGTCTTCAAAATGCTGTAGTTCCTGCTAGGAGTAAGGACATAGGACCTGTTTTCGAAGATATAACTGCCACTGACAGTGAGAACGAAGATGGGCCACCTTTACCTGAAGAAGATCCATTGCAAAAGCTAAGTTTGAGTGAAATGAGCTTGGAGGCAAAAGTCAATTACCTGCTCAAACAAGTGGAACTACTAGCAAGTTTCATGGAACCTTCCAATTCTAAGGTCCGATATACCTTTATTTACTTGGTCTAGTAGAAAACTCTTTATACTTTTTATGCTGTCTTGTGGAATGATTTTGATGATATTTGTGAACATCATGTTTATTATAATGGTACAGGTGGCTGGGGAATTTTTTCCGAGTGGAAGTGCTTCCAATGCAGATCCTAAATACAAAATTTTGCATATGGATTGTGATAAGAAGGTTGTTGTGATGGCCGCATTGCCAATTCTCCTGTTTCTAGCAAAACAATAGTTCAACTACACTTTTGCTTTCAGCTTATTTATTTCTTTGACTATGAATGCAGATTGAAGCCCTACTACATGAGAATCATCTCCTTACCGTGAAGCTAGAAAATGCTGTCAGCAAACTTGAAATGGTATGGTTTGTGATCCATGGATCTTGTCCTGTGGCTCGTTTGAATTTCCAAAACCTTGCTGCATATGATAAAATTGCTGTTTCAATTAATAGCTTTTTGAACTGCTGCTATTATTGAACCACGAGCCTTCCGAAGACACTAGCCTGTTTCACTCAAAGAGTCAGGTTTGTTTTTGTTTGCATTTCACTGAAAGACATGAATTTGCATTACGTCATTCCCCTTCTGACCATTTCAAGGTGACCTTAGCTTAAATTTGCATCTACTAAAATACGGAATTAGCATGCTTAATATCACTTGGTGTTTGTTTGCTTTCCATAGTTTGAGTAGCATAGAATCTCGAATTGGGCTTCTGGTTTTTTCTTGCAAAGGCTAGAATTTTCTTGATTTATACGTGCTTTTATGAAGTCTGGAAGCATTTGCTGACAAGTCAGCATGCTTCAGTAAGAACTTTATGACTTTGTACTTTTGATCTATTTTGATTTGAGAGCTTTTACGGTTTCAACTAACTACTTTAATTCTAGCAAAAAAAAACTAACTGCTTTAATTAATATGCATATGAGATCTGCATATGGCATTGTTCTACTCGATCTCACTCGTGGAGTTGCTCTTTTCTTTTTCTTTTTTATAGCGCACTGTTGTTAAGATTTCTCTTGTATCCTTTATATGCTGCATGACTCATGCTCTGACAAAATTGGAGTAATTGAGCATTATGCTGGAAACTTGTCCAGTAATTGATCTTTCTGTTCATTTAATTCAAATTTTGGAATCACCCGAAAACATGGTTCTATGTGTCCTTTACTGATTGTGCTTCTTCTTGCTTGGTACTTAAACTTTTGTTCTTCTATGTGCAGTATGAGCAAGGGAACCGCATATTCAGCGAAGTATTGGATAAACTGAAACAAATGGTCGTGCTATTCGATCTGACTAAACCTGCTGAAACAGTTGCTCATGGAAAGCAAACCACACGGGATGGTTCTTTGTCTCCGGGTGCAGTCGGGAATGCTACTTCTCCTAAGAGGAAGATGCGTGATGGTTCTTTTTCTCCAGATGCAGTTGGAAATACTGCATCTCCCAAGAGGAAGAGAGGAGACCGATAGGTGAAACCAAGAAGAGCTGAGTTTCTCAATGGCATGCCAAGCCAAAAATAAAAGAAGAAAAGAGTTCCTCAATGGCATTAGGTTATTCTTACGTTAGCATGTCGGTTAACTGACTATGATACCTCACATTAGATGCTAACTCTATCTGAGCGCAACTCGGTTTCTAGTTGAGATCTCTTTATGCTTTTTAGCTGGTTTTGTTTATGGTGCGTGCATTGTTAAGACATCTTATGTATCCGCCTTCCCTCAGTTTCTAGTTGAGATCTCTTTTGGCTTTTCACTCAATTTTACTATTATCATCATGTCGACAAGAGTTCAGTACGACCTTACCAATTTGATTGGTCTTTTACGATAATCATAACAGAGACTTGGTCAACGGCTTAGCAAAAGGATAATGCCATTCATGATTTTGAAAGAAATATTCTTCATCATCTTCGCTGGGTTTACAAGTCAAAAACAATCTGAAGAGTCTTTGTAAATGACGTAACGTAGGCTCGGTTAATGAGTTGAGAAACGAAATTTTATTATTAGTTACGGTTTTTTTATTATTTAATTCCAAATTTTATTAGTTTTGTCTAAGAGTGATTATGCGCTTTTAAAATTTTTGGAAGGTTGTGTTTATTCGGACATAATTTCTTCATATAACTTCTTAATCTTTGAGAGATTGTATCCGTTTAAACATATTTATTCACTATTATGTATTCTACATTTAGGTTCAATACTTTTAACTTCCATTTTCGTTTCTTTCAAAAGATATACAGCTTTCTTTCCAATTGTTTCCTTTTTGAGAGTTATTGGAGAAATACCAAAATTGCTATGAGACTTTGTTGTATCCCAAAAGATTTTTACTAGTAAGTATTAGCAACGTTGTGGGGTAGATAATTCCTTAACAGAGAGTATTATCGCACCTCAAAGTCCGACTCAATTCCTCTTCCCGATGGCTTGATTTTTCCCCCAACACTAGATATGCACATTTCCTGCATTTGGATTAGTTGTCAAAGCTGGAGTCCAGAATGCAAGTGCTGATGTTTATCAATCAAAAGATGAAGCAAATGCGCATATGCTTCTTCACATTATGATTGCAGCACTTATAACAGCGTCTTGAATCACCAAAGCTTTGGCGGATATTTAAAAGGTTTTAACAGCGCACGTATCAGAAACAAAACCAACTAAAAAGAAAACAAGAGATGTCGACTAGAAACCAAGTCTGCTCTCATAGAGTTAGCATCTACTGAGAAAGTCAGGTGCTATATCAGTTAAACGATGCGGCAAAGGTCAGTCAGAGAGCTTACATGGAGGTAAGTCAGCTTGGCTCTCATGACTTAACAAATATCCGACTCGCTAACAGTTTGATATCCGGGAGATTCTCGGTCCATCTCCGCATCAAGTTCTACAGGATATAATGTATGGAGGGTACATATTGATGATGAGACACAAATGGCGAAACATTTCGCCTTTAAAATTTTCTGCTTGATTTGCTACGTTCTGTGGTAGTAGATATATCCACCGGCATTTGGATTGGGTGGCAAAACTAGAGTCCGGAATGCAACTGCTGATGTTGATCAATCAAAATATGAAGGATGGTGCATGCGTACACTTCTCGTTCAAGTTCATGAAGAACTTTATTGATATTGCCTAGTACAAAAGTCTGACTTTATCACTTGTGGAAAGGGCGATCCACCAAATTCCCAATTCGAAATCAAAATTAGGCAACAAAAACCATTGTTGCCGCACTTCTGGGACTTCCGATACAATGAACACTTCACTTCCTACAACTGTTCCTGTTGGAAACTCTCGTGGAGAGAAGAAGTGTTAAAACTGAAAACGTCGTTCCCGGGAGTTCCAGGAGTTCCATCATCGCCATCATCTGCCTCATCTTCGGCTATGGGAGGCGGCGGAGACGAGAAGTCTAAACACATGCCCTGCATGACTTGCTCATATGACTCCGAGAGGTCTTGCGAAGTGAGCTGGTGATATGCGACCAGCTGATTGAGGCACTGGTTTTCTCGAATCAGATTCGCGTTTTCGTTTGCCAATCTGGATTTCTCGGCCAGTAGGGTTTCCAGCTGAAGCCTCACCTGCCAAAAGCACAATTCGCCATGTTTAGCATATCAGCAATATCTGCGCTTGCAAATTCTGCTCTTTCTCAGCCTTTTCTTTTTCACCACTCAATGTCGATTGCAGCAACGAGTGCTTAAACTGGGAAGCAGCTCGGAGAATTGGTACATGGCATTTTCTAACTCAAACTCATGTTTATAGTTCTAGCCGGGTCGATTTCCTTTTCTTATGAGTGAAAAGAATCAGAACCGAGCAAGACCAAATCAAACTACATCTCTGTAATTCCCACTTCCATGAGCAGACGCATAATCTTTGGTTTTTGGTCCCAAGATAGAGAGACTCTAGTTGTGTTCAAGAGACTGATTGTGTGTGTTCAAAAACAACAGACAAGACCAAGCACTGTGAGACACTCGCATAATTCGAATTAAGATATGTAATGAAACCCCAAGTACCAGATCATCTTCCTCAGGCCTAATCCCCTTCGAAAATCCGTCTCTGAGCCTTCTGTTCTCCTCCTCAAGCAGAGCACATCGCTCTTGCATGAAGCACAGGTCCGACTTGATCGAGTTCAGTTCTCTCGCGAGCGAAGCTGCTTTTGTTGCCATAGACACCGCAAGCTGAAGAAAAAATCCCAAATCAACAAACAGCTTTAAGTCCAGCTCAAAGCGTACCAACAAATCAGATGGTTCAATTTAAGATAACGTAGGAGAGGGAAAAAATCGACATTTACCGACATTTTTGGCTTTCTTCAGCTTTGCGAGTTTTGGGCTTGGACCATTTTCTTCCTGCGAATCGCCTTCTTCGGAGCAATTGCTCGAATCGAACTTTCTTTTCTCTGCTTTCTTCCTTTCTTCTTCTTCTTCTTCGTCTCGGGAATGTCGTTTTATTTCTCTGCTGTCATCTGAACTCTTCTTCAGATTGCTATGGAAGATGGACGTCAGAGTAGGTGGCTTTGCCAGATCTCTAGCTCCCTGATATAAAACAGAGCAAAAGCAGAGGGAAGAATCAGCCGTGAAAGCCCCCAAAATTCACACAACCGCCATCGTCGAACGCTCTGAAAATGGTCCAAAAATTTCACCTGAAGGGCGTTGTCGATGTTGTCGGAGAGCTGAGACAGAGTGTGGGCGACGGAGTCGAACCCTCTGAGCAGGAGCAACGAGTCTTCCTTCATCCCCTTGCCCCGCCCCGTTTCCCCGGCGGCAGCCCCGCGGTCCCGATCCGCGAGGATGGCGTCGACCCGGCACCGCAGGCTGCTCCAGAAGCGCTTGTCCGAGGAAGGGCTGAACAGGGCGGAAGCGGAGAGGAGGGCAGTAGGAGGAGAAGAGCCGCCCGCGAAGCCCGCGCCCTCCTGCAAAATCAATCAAACCGACACGCCCGGTTCAGCGAAGAGCTCGTAACACGAGACGGGGGGGGGGGGGCGAATCCGCTTTGGGCAAAAGAAAAAATCACGACGAGAAGGACGAGGTGGAGATACGTTGATGCGGGGAGGTGGTGGCGAGTCCACTGAAGCAGCCATGGGAGCGTTAGAGAGACAGAGAGAGAGAGAGTAACGGCTAGTTTCAGCTTGCTTGACTTGAGAGAGAGAGAGAGAGATTGATGGAGAAGGTGGTTTTTAAATTGAGGCCGCGCCGATTTGGGTAACGTTCTGAAATCTGAAATTCCTAAAAAATAAAAAATTATGTTTTCTTTTTTCTCCTTTTATATTAAATTCATCTAACTAAAAGCCCCGTGAATTCCGACCAAAAAAGAAAAAAAGGCCCGTGAATTTGGTTATAAATCAGGCTTCAAAAAAAGAAAAAGAAATTGGTTATAAGAAAATTCGGTCCAAAGTCTCAAAAAGTCTCTGACCAAAAAAAAAAAAAGTCTCAAAAAGTCAAAAAGATGAATGAAGTAAAAGGTTCACTTGTGAGTGCGGCTATGGAGGGAGCCTCGTTGATCCAACGGGCTGCGATCTTCCCGTGTCATAGTTTCGTGGGTTTTTTTTTTTTTGGGTCGATGTCACGAAAATTTTCAAACTAATATATATATGCCACGTATATCCTAAAATAAATTTTCTTGTCATGAAAATTCTAAAATTGGTACATGCGTGCCGCAATTACCTCACTTTTGTCCGAGTACTCATGGTGGCACAGGTGCAATTGTTTTTTTGTCGAGGGCCCCCTCGCCGGATCCGGCGAGGCCCGCCGGACTCGCCTGCCCGCTGGAGGGGGGGCCCTCGCGGAAAGGAAAAAAAAAAAAAAAAAAGAAAAAGCAAAAAGACGAAAATGCCCATGGATTAAATACATTGGGGTAAATGTGTCACAAAAAGTAAAGTTCGGGGTTTTTGGTGTCACAAAAAAAAGTTGGGGTAAATGTGTCACGAGATGGCAAAGTTTGGGGTTTTTGGTGGTTTTCCCTAAAATTTAACTAACGTAGCGTAAATTTGTCACAGGTGTACCGGTTTGGGGTTTTTGGTGGTTAAAAAATTAGTTTATGATAAATTTTTCGTATATGTACCAATTTGAGGATTTTTTGGTGGTATTAATCCTTAATAATGCGGGTGTTCCCATCGAATTTGTTCAAATTAGAGTAATTTCTTGGGTAATGCGGATTCTGAAAACCTTTGATAGGGTGGAGAAAGAAAAGAATGGAGAGAAATTTTAAGATATGCTAAATTTTCCTTTCTCTTTACTCATACGAAATTTTCAAATTTTTTTCAACTTTCCACCCTCATTTGGTTCCCCCACTTTCTCTAGTTTCCCAAACAGAGGGAAAATGGAATTAGTGATTGTGGGCAAAGTTGAAGATATTTTCTATACAGATTTAGGTATAAGTCTAAACCGTAAATCCAACAATATACATTTAAATAAATTCGTCAAACACACACTCAATCTACGCTAACTTGAACCGACAGATTTAGGAATGACTAATGCTCGACTTACTAAAATAGTTGACAAAATCGGTTTACTAAGAGATGTGTCGGACTGCAGGTGACTCTTCAAACTAGTGGGACATGTTCAAGCACCAATAATAACTTATAACACATGACCTGATAAACCGATTTTTGTAAACAAAATTTAATATATGTAGCTTTTTCCTTGAGGAAATATCCCTATATATAAAATTGAGTTTTGACCCAAACTTAACTCGATCCGGACTCGATCTCGTAACTAAAGTGTGAACTTTTTTCTTACGATAGGCAGACTCGGAGTAACAAAATTAGGGCCAATGACAAGCCCCGGCATGACCCGCTCAAACCTAGGCGGGTCTACTTTGAATTTCTTAGTAAAACACGGAATTTACTGTTTTCGAAGAATTTTTTACCCCGTTTGGACAAAAGCGAGTGATGTAGTCTTGGAAAGACAAAACGAGAACGAGGCTAACATTGCCTTTTGGGCCAGGTTTTGCACCTCTCCCCAATGGCAAAACTTGGCTATTTTCACGTTACATCAATGAACCGTGCATTTTGTATTCATTCGACATTTTCGCACTTGGTTACAACAATACGTCGTACAAGCACAGAAGAAAAACAATAGACAAATCGCGGTATTCCTTGTATTTGCACTTTGTACGTCAAAACGGTACATCTGTATACCGACGAAGTGTCCAATGATAATTTTGTCATGCACTAGGAGGCCGGAGCTCCTCAGCCGGAGGTGGTTGTTCCGAGGGGTGTCGATGGGTCTGATCGGATCGGGTTTCCATGCTACCCGACCCGAAACCATAAAGAGATATGTGTTCTCTGAAAGTTTGGAGGAAGGGAAGAAGATTAGCAGAAGTTTCTCTTTGAGTAAATGAGACGAGGTGGGGGTGAATTGGCTCAATCGTTTGTGGACTAATGGTTTCATTTTGGACGGTGCAGTTATGATATTCTAAGAAAGGCAGACATTCGCATTCTATGAGCTATGGTAAAGATCGAGTTCAAGGCCATCTACGAGCTTTGCTCGATCTGTATGTTCGCGCCAGTCTACTTTAAAAAAAAGGTCAGTAGAACACGGGCTTATTGTTTTCAAAGATTTCGACACCACTCGAATAAAGTGTGTATGTAAAAAGATAAAACTATCGGTCCAATCGTTGAGGATACTAAAGTCTCCGAACTCTGTTTAGTCAAATGTCTAATGTCGTCTCCTATATTTTATGTGGGTTCCATTTTGTCCTCTAACTTTTGTAGAATTGTCCAAACTAATCTTTACGAGAAGAACATCGACGCCAACAATTGTCATACAATGCAATAATTGGGTGGTCATGGCCAATTGGTCATGAAGGTAGCTACAACAGCTAGTCAAAGTTGTCAACACAAGGATTTGAATTTGGTCTTGCGAGCCTCTCTTTCTTCATTTTCTTTTTCTCATTGTTTCCTCCTCTTCTTTTGATGCGGTGCGTGAAGCACAATGTTTAGATTTGTCACTATCGCACAACGTTTAAACCTGTCACTCAGATGGTTTTTCCTGCGCAAGTAATCAGGTACCGAAAAACTTGATTGCACAAATCGAAAGGGTGAGAACCGTTGATTGCTTGAACAAAATCGATGAATTGACATTACTAAAATAGAAAAAAATTAGAGGGCTTGAATTAGACGTCGCTCTTTTCGAAAATGGAAAAGCCTACAATTTCCTCAATTTTATGTTATACATAGATAAGGAAAAAAGAAGAAGAAAAGAGTATGACATTCTTTTGTGGGTTAATACTACAAAAAAGCCTAAACTGATACATCTGTGATAAATTTACTCTAAACTAATTATTTGACAACCAAAAACCCCAAATTGGTATACCTGTGATAAATTTACCCTATGTTAGTTTTCGTTAAATTTTACTATCAAATTGCTTTGTCAAATGACATGTGACAGTTGACACATGAACCACTTTTGGATTTTATCCTTCGTTGTCACAGGTGTACCAGTTTAGGATTTTTTGTGATATTAATCCAATTTAACGGAAACTAACGGAGGGTAAATTTATTAGAAACGTACCAGTTTAGGGTTTTTGGTAATCAATAAATTAGTATGGAGTAAATTTATCACATATGTACTAGTTTGAAAATTTTCGTGATATTAACCCTTGTTTGCTGGATTTAATGAAGTCGTTCAATGGGCCTAATTGCCCCAGCTTGAACTGCTCAAGTTTGCCCATGCTCTTTTTTTATTTATTTAAAATTCAATTTTTTTTCTAAACCACAGACAAGCTTGGACAATTATCTTTTCAGATATTACTCTCACATTGATCGATTCTATTTTAACACATTTGATATCATTGCACGTATAATCTTAGTGCAGTGCTGTTTGACAGCTTTTGAATATAAAAAACACAATGCATCTCATCTGTGCTGTCATTCTTATTAGAACTTCCTTTAAGCATATCTAGTCTCGAGGATTGTTCAAGATCTATTTTCCAATGATCAAGAAATAAAGCGCGGTTGATTCAATGGAAAAACTGCAGAGATCTCTTGATGAAGATGGTTGATTTGATTTGCATTGAGAAGGCAACGCGTAATGTTAAGACGTTGCAGCTATCTCGAACGGTATATGGACAGACAAAGTTATCCAAATACTCGTAGTGGCACAAGTGGGATTTTTACTTTAGGGATAAGTATACTGGAAGTCCTAAAATTTATCGCGAAGGTGCAATTGAATACTAAACTTTCAAAAAGTGCAATCGAGTCATACCGTTAATTTTGTCCAACCGGGCTTACAAAAAATATTGACGTGACATTTTTTTTACTTTCTCTCTCCTACATGGCATCTTTATTATTTTATTTTTCAAATTTTACTTAAATTAGATTAAATCAATTAAAAAGGATAAAAAAAATTAAAAACCAAGTACCAAAAAAAAACGGAGGAACAAGCCCTTACCGGTGGCCACTGCCGCATATAGCCCGAAAGGGCCAATGGAGGTCACCTAAGCCTTGCCAGAGCCCGGCAACCCTTGCCGGCCCCAGGCGAGTCCTCGGCAACCCTTAGCGAGACCTCACCTTGGGTTGGGCGAGCATCGCCCATCCCAAGCGAGGTCTTGCCGGCCCCTGCAAGGGCCTTGCTACCCTCGCTTAAATCTAGGGCGAGAATCGCGCCCTCCTTTAGATCTGGACCGCCAAGCCCTCGTCCCTCCTTTAGATCTGGACCGTCAGGCCCTCGTCCGAGGCTGTCGAAGCGTCGCTCGAGGCCGGCGAGGCCCAAGCAACCTCCACCGGCACTTTCCGGCGATGGGTGGTGGCGTTAGTAGGAGAGGACCTCAATTTGTCTTTTTTTAGCTATTTTTTTTAACATTTAGTTTTTTTTGTTTTTTAATCTAATTTAGTTTATATTTATTTTTAATTTTAAAATATTTTCTAATGTGGCGCTTGATGAGCACCACAACGTCACCACTGGTCCTAAGAAAATAATAATAAAAATGTCACGTTAGCATTTTCCGTTAGCCTAGTTGGACGGAATTGACGAAAAGATTTAATTGAATTAACTTAACGAGTTTTAGGATTCAAATACATTTTCGTGATAAGTTTTAGGACTTTCAGTACATTTATCCCTTTATTTTACCACATAATTTAATAATAGATACAGAGGGTCAAAGCTTCTAACACGGTTTTTTGACTGATCCCATTAAATTGCCTAAATTGGAGTGAA